AGGCGCGTACGTGTCGCCGTCGACACAAATCGCAGTCTCGCCAGAAGGCTCAATCCACACACCCACGTGCTGACTCACGAGCGGCCTCACGCCCACCAAGTTCCTCAAGAACGAGGGGACGTGGAAGCCCGTCAAAGAACCGGAGGGAAGAGCCAGGCACGGAAGCGTAGTAGTGTAGCGAGCAGTGACTGGTCCCGAAGTGGGATCAGCAAGTGCGTCAGAGACGGGTGTAGGAAGCGGGGTAAGTGTCATGTGGTTGAGGAAGAAATAGTGCGAAGCTCCGGAGTCCAGAGTGAACGATAGCGAAGCGTCCTCCGGAGCAGCTCCTGGAGTAAGTGTTTACACAAGTACCTACACTAGCAACAGGCACCTCAGCAAGACTAGCACCTAAGCTAACAACACTCGAGTAAACAGAGTTAGAAGCACTAGAGTGAACAACAGCATACATGGCATGAGGAGTTCCTAAGAGATCAACCAACTGAGAAGCCGACATGCCCCACAGAGCGGGGCCGTATGACTGAACAAGGGGGAGCCAGTCAGGGGTAGGGCCGTCAACGCCGTAGGCCAACCGAACTGTTTCCGTAAGCTGAGCAAAACACTGACCCGGTGGGTGGGTGCGGCCACAAGGCTGGCCTCGGCGGGCACCTGTCAGAACGTGATAGGTGCAGGGAGGGTGGACGACACCGCGCTGCAGCTGACGCTGTACCGACACCTGCCCCGAAACCTGCTGCTGCCATTGCTTCTGCTGTGGCCGCTGCGAGGGGAGGGGCTGCCGCTGCTACTGTTGTGGCTGCTGCGATGGGAGGGGCTGCTGCTGCTGCTGCTATCGCTGAGTCAGGTACCACCCCGCTGCTCCACACCCTGCGGCTGGCTGACCAGTAGGTGGCGGACGAACCCGGGCGTCACCTCCACCAGCTGCAACAGGGGAGTCACTGGCCGCTGCACAAGACGCTCCTCCAGCCCGTGCACTCCCGCCGCCGCCGCTCGCCACGTCACCCCCACCGCCTCCGCCGCCTCCGCCCGCACCCTGACCACCCCTCGTGCGACTCCTACCCTGGCTCGTGCCACTCCTGCCACTCCTACGGGAGGAACAGGCGACCAAGAGAGACAGTGGTGGGAGTAGCGTAGCGGGCCTTGATCGCAGTCAGGAACTCACTAGCCGTGCGAACCTGAGTGAAGTGGGCCTCCTCAGACTCAGGGAGGCTGCTGCTGAGGGCGATGCAGGTCGAAGCGTCACGCGACTTCCACGCTATCAGGTCAGCACGCTGGCGAGCATAACGGTCTCTGTCAGCAGTATAGGGGTCAGTGCCTAAGGGTGCAGGGTCGTCGGGCTTAGGAAGGTCGCCGGATGCGTGCGCCCATAGAGACTCATTGGCCTGAACCAAACTCTCTAAAAGACGGCGCGCATGCAGGAGCCAGACCGAGAACTCGAGCGGCCTACCCTCGCCGTCAAAGCGCAGGACCCTAGGGGTCACCATAGCAAAAGCAAAGAGGTGGGAAGTGTTGCTGCTAAAACCCTAATCACTGAGTGCGACTCAGTAGGGCGCTACGGGACATAGGGTAGGGCGCTACGGGACACAGAGTAGGGCACTACGGGACACAGAGTAGGGCGCAACACTGCTGCACTAGGAGGGCGCAGCGCCACGGGCAGGGGTAGCGCGACCGACGGGCAGCGCGACGCGACGCAGCGGGACAGGACGGGCAGCGCGACGCGACGCGACGGGACGGGACGGACAGCGCGACGCGAACGGGCAGCGCGACGCGGACAAACGGGACAAAACGGTCGGCGCGACGCAGACGGGTAGCGCGACGCGGACGGACAGGACGAGACTGACGGCGCGACGCGGACGGGCAGCGTGACGCGGACGGACGGGATGGGACAGACGGCGCAACGCGGACGGACAGCGCGACGCGGCGGGACGGTTGGAGTGACGTAACGGCAGACGCAGCGGGCGCTAGGGCACGAGAGCGACGTAACGGTAGGCGCAGCGGGCGCTAGGGCACAAGAGCTACGTAACGGTAGGCGCAGCGGGCGCTAGGGCACGAGAGCAACGTAACGGCAGGCGCAGCGGGCACTAGGGCACAAGAGCGACGTAACGGCAGGCGCGATAGGCGCTAGGGGACAGTACGAGCGTAACGGGCACTAGGGTACGGGACAGGCTCGGGCGCTACGGACGTGAACGAGAGGAACGGGATCCCACAGGATCCTAACCTAGGTGATACCATGTTAAGAATGCAAGTGTTGGTTTTACTAAGGCTGGTTGGGGTACATAAACCTAACCCTAACAGTTGTACCCCCTATAACACACATCACTAAGACTACAATATTTGACAGAGAGGGTGTAACTATGCAGCAAGCAGGGTTCATATAGAGGACGACTATCCCCCCATCTTCTCTTCCTCTTGTCAATGACACCACTAGCTTGCAAAGCCAGCGACACATCAGAAGCTTGGCTTGCACTCGCGACCTTCGCGACCTTCGCAAGCTTCGCCGCCCTTACGGCTTGCGCTCGCACGCTTTGCGCCATCGCTTGTTTTTTTCTTCGCAAGTTCCTTGCTTTATCTGTAGGATAAAGTGTCAGAATGTTATCTTATGCTCTAGCATGTAGTGGGGTGCTCTATAGCGAGTACAACCCTTCTAGGGTTTCCTATTTGTATCCCCATTCTTGCTAGTGCAGTCCTCTTTTTTCTTCTAAACTTTCACATAAAGGTGCGCCGAAGGTGCCATCGCTATGCGAGAAAGGACGTTAGTCCTTCGCAAGCAAAGTTTTTTTCTCACCTTTCAAAACGGCCACAATTGCCCCCGGAAGCTCACCCACCACGCAAGCAAAGCTTGAAAGCGGTGCTTCGCTCCCTTCGTTGTTTGTAGGCGCAAAGTGTTCGTTAAAAAAAAAAAAGGCGCCGTAAGTCCTATAAGCAAAGCGAGCAAGTAAACCTTTTATGTGGCGCAAGCTTTGTTTGCGACAAAAAAGAAGCGCAAGCTTGCAGTCATTATTATTGCTCATGATCATTATTCTATTATTAGTCGCACATAATAAATAATGCAAGCTTCCGTCTGGTTGCTTGGCTTGTTCTACTAGCGTGGTTTGCTTGGCTTGCGCTCGTTCTTGCATTTGCAAGATTAGCATTCTGATACCTAAACGGTTTGCTTCTGGTTTTCCTTCCATCATCCTGTCAAAATGTTTTTTGCTGTGTAGGCTGTAGTGGGGTACTCAACAGAGAGTACAACCCTTTTAGGGTTTCCTAAATGTACTCCACCTGCCTGCTAGTACAAACCCCTCTCCTTCCTAAAACCTAAGTCGCTACTACTCTTAACATGCTATCAGAGCTGGTCGACCCTGTCTGGTCGATCCTGTTGGGCCCACCAATCGCTTCCACTGTCTTCCTACCAGTCGTGCGCCCCGGGCGTGCGACGTTTTGTGCCCGCCGTGCGCCCCGGGCGCGCAGCGGTTTTCTGCCCGTTGTGCGACGGATTCCTGCACGTCACGCGCCCCGGGCGCGCGACAGTTCCTGCTCGCCGCGCGCCCCTGGCGCGCGACGAATCCTGCCCGACGCGCGCCCCGAGCGTGCGGCAGTTTTCGGCCCGTGCACTGCCCCTGCAGCCCACGAGCCGCCCCTGTAGCCCGCGTGCCTGCCCCTTGCAGCCCGCGTGCCTGCCCCTTGTAGCCCGCGCACTGCTCCTGCAGCCCGCGAGCCGCCCCTCCAGCCCACGCGCTGCCCCTGCAGCCCGCGAGCCGCCTCTGCAGCCCACGCGCCTGCCTCTGCAGCCGCGGGGCAGCTCCTACCCCGCACCCCCACTCCCCCCCTTCTCCTGCATCTCCCTGTTGCGCGCGCAGCCATGGGGGGGAGGGTATGGGGGTGGCGGGCGTGAGTGATCAGCTGCTCCTCCTCCTCCTCTCTCTCCCACTACTGCAGCTACGGTTGAGGGGGGGGGGAGGGTGTGGGGGAGACGAGGGAGTGGCGCTAGGGATGCCGAGGGGGTTGAAAGGGGGTTTGGGACAATGCAAGGAGGTTGAAGGCGGGTGGCCGCCGTGAAGTCCGTAGCTCCAGTTGCCCGTGAGATCGTTGCGCCAGTGGCCAGTGAGTCGGTTGCTCTTGCCGGCGAGTAGAGCCAGTTACTCCAGTTGCCCATTTGCCATTTTCTCCAGTTGACCGTGGGTAAGTTGCTCTTGCCGGCGAGCAGAGCCAGTTACTCCGGTTTAAACCGTGTGCCAGTAGCTTCCGGGGCCGCCCACCTCCTCTCCTCTCATGGTCCCTCCTCCTCACTTGCCCTCTGTTTCTGCCACTAGCCTTTGCGTGTGAACTAGTCCTACGACTGCTTGTTGTGTTGGCTGTCCCCCACTTCGCCTATGGGGGTGTGTCAAAATGTTATTTGCTGTGTAGGCTGTAGTGGGGTACTCAACAGAGAGTACAACCCTTTTAGGGTTTCCTATATGTACTCCACCTGCCTGCTAATACAAACCCCTCTCCTTCCTAAAAACTAAGTCCTAACTTAGCTACTACTCTTAACAAATCCATTAGTACTCTTGCTTTCATATACCGAGATATTTGGTTTTCTTGAAAAAAAAACCAATCAGCAGTCTGCCATTCACAATTGGTCGTCAGGTCACTAACATACACAGAATTCCCTGTTGATCACTGACTTGACAGCCTAACTCAAATGCAGATGGCACCTGCAAGCATGAAACATTTACTTAGGCACCACCCGTTTCAGCTTCCCACATAGCGCGTTCATGTTCTCTGTATAACCCATAACAAAAACACCGCTCAGCTTAACAAACGAACCTATTGAGCCAAGGAGAACTTTCTTATGCACTGGGCCAAGATCCGTCGCTGAAGTAAAGCTGTAGCGCTTTTGGCGACCAGTCTTATCGCTCGTAATCTTTACCCATTCCCGCTGAAAAAGGTCCTTTGTAAAGCAAGAAGTAGCCTAAGCAGAGAAGGGGATCCTTCCTCAGGATCTCAAGTTCAAGACTTGAGCATTGAAAACGACGCGGTAATTAGTTGAAGAGTACCTGTCAAGCGGACATGGGAGAAGGCAGTCAAGGAAGGAAGAGTTTGAGGAGGCATACTGGTATCATGCTCCCTCTTTTGTGAGCATTACGGTAAGTTGCAAGCAAGACGCCAGACCAAAACCAGCTAAACAAACAGCTATAGCAGAAGAACATTGGGAGCGCCAGTAAGAGTGGTTAGAGATTTTACAGTGTCTGAGAGAACAACGTCTCTTCCTCGCTGATAACTCATTAGGATATCTGAAAACGCAAAGGGAGTTCTTACCTCACAACGTTAACTAAGGCGCCTCATAAGACAACTTATGAGGCGCCTCATAGGACAACTTTTGAGGCGCCTCGTAAGACAACTTTTGAGGCGCCTCAAGTGTACGCAACGTCAGTTTTTCCTTGATGACTCATTACGACATTTGAAACTGCAGCAGAACGAGTTCTTACCTCACCGCCTAGATGACAACTTTCCCTGATGCTCCAGTGTCGCCGACCACATTCCCATTGCTCTTGGTAGGTGTCAGCTTGGCCACGTATTTCCCTGAATACGAACAGGGAAGTGGAGGGATGGGACTGGCGCTGATGAGCCAATAACGATCAACAGGAAGCCTCACAAAAGACAAACACGGCGGCTTGCCGTCATGCACCCGCTTCAATATAAACAACGGCTGCAAACATCAGCATTTGAGGAGTTGGACAAGATCACGCAAACATCAGTTATGCAATTGAGTAGCCAGCTAAGAAGCATCATCACGCAGGTAAGGCAAGTGACACGTACTGATGGTCTTCCCCTTCCACACTAGAGGCTTGGCTTGAGCGGCGGAAGGTACAGCAGCGGATCCGCCATTGCTTGGTGGGAGTGGCGCGCCGAATGATGCGCGAGACGCGCCTCCCGCAGTGAAGAGCGCCTCACCTGCAGGCACGCGGGCAGGCGGGCGGGCGGTCAGGCAGGCAAGCAAGCAGCAGCACGAGAGGGCATGAGGGGCGAAGGTCAATTCGACAGCCTGTTTTCAAATACCTTAGAACGTTAGCCAGCAGTTGTGTCTGTGAGCGGAAGCAACCGTAAATCCTGAAAAGTAGCGGAGGCACTCAGTGCGACACTGAGTGGCATGAACTGCTATCAGCTCGATGTGCTCACGGCACGGGTAGTAGAAACGCCGCTTACAGAGAAGGACGCAGAGGAGAGACGCGCACTCCATGGCAAGACTGAAACGTTCAATGCACGAGCCCGTGGGTGATCAAAATGGTTCCCGTGCACGTAGTAGCTACTGCTGCAAGGTCTGGGTGGAATGACAGGCGATAGTTCCGATATGATGGGAAACGGACTACCTGAAAAGGAGACCGTGAGTCGTGTCGCAGCGTGACAGCCGAAGCTGTGCAAGGCAAGTGGCGGAGCGAGCGACCTCAACCACATTTCCCTCCCCCCGAAAACGCCACGTCGACAAGCCTACTAGGCTAGTAGACGCTAGTGGCACCCCTTGAGGTGCCACCGAAGGCACCCCTTGCGGTGCCACCGAAGGCACGCCTTGCGGTGCCACCGAAGGCACCCCCTTGCGGTGCATCTTGAGGTGTCAATGGCAATCCCTTGGGCTGTACATAACTTGTCGTAAGGGCAACCGACTGTTCGCATAACCCGGTGCCTTGCTAATCACGAGGACTGCATATGCCGGACGAACTTCACCAAGGCGTTGGAGTGGGTAGGGTTTGTCGTGAAACGTTCCAAACAAAATGAATGTAGGTATTCGTCAAACGTCAACAACACTCGGTATCTAGTGTGTGCTTGTTATGAGTGCAATTGAGTGAGCGAGCGAAAATTGCACCATCGAAGCAAGAGTACAATGAGCGAAGGCATGAGCGAAGAATACATAGCGGAACTAGAGTGGTAACGGTAATGTGTGAAAAGCGGGACGGGCCTAGCGCCGAGGTTGGGAAATTTTGAGGGGGAGGTCCGGAGCGCGGGTTACCAACCAAACCGTGAGGCTGGGTTGCGTCGTGAACAGTGTCGAGAACAGTGTCGAGGCGAGTGGTAATGGATTACTGTTGGGTGCTGTTGGCGGGTGTTGGGCTGAGAAAAGCCCTTAGAATCGTTTCAAGACTAAAGGCTCAGAGTAATGATGTATTAGCAGAAGCGTATTTAGTGAACTGATTGAACCACCTTGCACTACTATGTGAGAACAAGAGGCAAGTTGATAATAACAAAGAGAGACAAGCTTTTATATGATTACAAGGAATACGAAAGGTTTAACTAACTGCAACTGCTGTTGCGGTTCGATACAGCAATGACCAGGGTAACTGCTCAATATCGAGTCAGTTATGTGTCCTTGCTGACGCGCTGCCTTTGGCGAGTTAAAGGTCGCTGACCTTTGACCTTCACTCAACTTCTTGTTGTTGTCTTTCTATCAACCGTTTTGGTTGACTTGTTGTTGATTCGCTTTCGTTGGTATACAGGGCATTGCTTTTGCAGATAGATCATCCTCCTCATTTTCTCCATTGACCCTTGCTCACCGCCGCCTTGGTCATACCGCCCCCACGACACTGCAACAGATGGCTCGGGGGAACAGTGTACTTGGCTTGGAGATTGGAGGAGGGAGCACTGATTGCTCTCCATGTGAAGATTGCTTATTGGGAAAGTCGGCTCGAAAGCCGTTTCCCCATGATGCGTCTCTGGCACTTGGGCCTTTGGATGAGGTTCACATGGACTTGTGGGGGCCAGTGCGCATACTGTCACCGGGAGGAGCGGTGTTTGTCCTCAGCCTCATTGACGACTTCACCAGACGTCGTTCCCACTCCCCAACAAGGAATCAGCCATAGTCGCAAAAGTTCTTCGTAGTGGCATAAGGACTTGGAGTTGGAGTGTGGGCGGAAGCTAAAGGCTGTTCGCTCGGACAGGGGTGGCGAGTTCTTGGAGGAAGCTATGAAAGCATGGAAGGCTGAGTTTGGCATCAAAACCCAATTGAGCGACGCAGATACACTGCAGCAGAATGAGGTGGTGGAGAGGTGGCACAGGACGATGGCAGAGGGGATTCGCACATTGTTGGTCGACAGTGGTCGCACTGCTCGCTTGTGGGGTCAAGCACTGATGTGGGTCATGTGGGTTAAGAACAGGGTCACCCACAGTGGTTTGCCTGCCTCCATCACACCAATGGAGATGTGGTTCGGCCAGAAGCCGCATGTGGGTATGGCTCGGATTTGGGGTTGCATGGGCATGAGAAGGGTGACAAGCTTGATGCACGGGCTGTCATGTGTGGCTGTGTTGGGGTGGACATGGAGAGCAAGGGTTGGCGCATGCTGGACCCTACTCTCATGCGCATTCGCATTGCTCGGGATGTTGTTTTTCTTGAGAATGTGATGGGGAAGGATTGGGACAAGGCAAAGGGATTTGAGGAACTTCTGCATGATGCAGCTGAAATTTCCCAGCTCCTCCCTCTTCCACTCTCGCCACCCTCAGCAGCGGTTGACGATGCTGAGATGCCACCTTCATCACCGCCACCTATACCGCTGCGTGTGTCGTTGCAGCAGCAGCCCACCCCTCTGCAGCAGCTCAGTGGCCCCTCGGTCATTCAGCGGAGATCCGCCATACAGGCTTCTTCCTCTTCCTCCTCCTCCGGTCAGCGATCTGTCACTCTATCTACGAGTGAACCTCTGTCACCAGTGTCTACCTCCCCACCACTGGTTACAGGTTTGGAGATGCTTGGTGTCCGGTCTGGTAGAAGTGGTGAGGAGGTAGGGGGGGATGCTGGTGTGGTTGAGGGCATGATGTGCTTGGCTAGAGAGGTGGATGGTGTTGCACTAGCAGGTGTGAGCACCGGTGATGTCCCACCCACACTCGCTGAGGCACTGCGCGGCCCTGAGGGCCTTGCGTGGAAAGCAGGCGCTGAGAAGGAGCTGAATGCAATGCGTACTATGGGTGTATGGGATCTAGAGCCGGTCGACTTACCTCAAGGTAAGAAGGCCATTGGGGTCAGGTATGTTTTCCGCAGGAACACTGACAAGGAAGATAAGGTGGTACAGCACAAGGTTTGCCTTGTTGCTTAGGGGTACACTCCGGAGCCCGAGAAGGACTATGACCAGGTATTTGCCCCTGAAGGCAAGCTCACCTCAGGTCGGGTGCTTCTTGCAGAAGCCGCGGTAAACGGGTGGCATGTACAACAGGAGGATGTTGATCATGCTTACCTCAATGTAGTCTTTCAGGAGGAGGTGTATCCGATGCAGCCTGAGGGATTTTATGTCAAGTTTATATGCTATGGTCTATCTAGGCTGTAGTGGGGTAGATACTATAGGGTACAGCATTTCTAGGTTTTCTACTTGTACCCACATTTTGCCTAGACATTTCACTCCTCGTTCTTTCACATGGTATAGAGCAGGTTCCCTAGTGGGAACGTTTCCTAGGGCCCACCACGAAAATCGATTTTTTTTTTTCCTGCCCGGAGCGCGCTTCGCCCCTGCCCGAGTCGCGCCCCGTGTGCCTGCCCTCCTGTCGCGTCCCCTACCCTTAGCGGCCCGTCGCGCCCTCTTACGGCCCCGTAGCGGCCCCTCTCACGGCCCCTCGCGGCCCCTTCGCGGGTCCCTCGCGGCCCCTCCGCGGCCCTTCGCGGCCCCTCTCACGGCCCTTCGCGGCCCCTTGCGGCCCCTTGCGGCCCCTTCGCCGCTCTTCGCGGCCCCTCGCGGCCCCTTCGTGGCCCCTCGCGGCCCCTTCTCGGCCCCGTCGCCGACCTTCGCGGACCCTCGCGCCCCCTTCTCGGACCCGTCGCCGCCCTTCGCGGCCCCTCACGACCCCTTCTCGGCCCCGTTGCCGCCCTTCGCGGCCCAGTCGCCGCCCTTAGCAGCCCCTTCACGGCCCTTCATGGCCCCTTCGCCGCCCTTAGCGGCCCCTTTTCGGCTCCTCCGCGGCCCTTCACGGCTCCTTCACGGCCGTCGCCGCCCCAGCAGCAGCAGCCATCGTACCGTAACAGCCGCCGCCGCCGCTGCCGCCGTCAGCAGCAGCCGCCGCCGCCGCCGCCGACAGCAGCAGCCGCCACCGCCGCTGCCGTGACAGCCGCCGCCGCCGCTGCTGGGGCGACAGCAGCGCACTCGTGAGACCCCGCCCCCCCAGCAGCTTCGTGAGTGGTACGCTGCGCGTCAGCGGGGTGGGGGTGCTGGTCCCTGTGCCTACGTCCTACGTACCGGCGATCGCACTAGTGAGCCGTGCGGTGGCCCGCACACCACCCAGCGCTGCTTCGGCCGCCTGACAGACGCTTGGCATCTCCAGTTCCCTGACGCCAGTGAGATCCCCCGCTGGGGCGAGCTGCTTAGGTCGGGGGTTGCTATCTTTGATCTAGATTATGATGCTATTCTTGCTGCCATGTATGTTATGTCTACTAGTGATGAGGGTGACTGTTACCTGTGTGTTCCGCCTAACCCTTGCATTGAGGCTGCTGCTCTAGGTGCTGGTGAGGTTGCTGCTCTAGGTGCTGGTGAGGCTGGTGCTCTAGGTGCTAGTGTGTCTGCTGCCCCAGGTGCTGGTGAGTCTGCTCTCTCAGGTACCACGTTGGCTCAGGCCTTACACACCTTGACCCTTGACTCAGGTGCTTCCCGATCCTTCTTTTGAGACCGCACCACACTCACGCCGCTTAGTCGGCCAGTTGCGGTCTCCCTAGCGGACCCCTCTGGGGAACCTGTCCTTGCCCACTTCTCCACCGTCTTGCCGTGTCCGGCGGCCCCTTCTGGCACCTTGTCAGGTCTTTACCTTCCCTTGTTCTCTACGAACTTGGGGAGTGGTGCCGATCTACACGATGGGGGGGGTTGACCAGTTCACTCCTCCGAGTCAACGGGTGACCCACTGTACGTGTGCTCAGACGGGCCGACACTTGGCCAAGTTTACCCGTCAGCCGAGGTCGAGCCTGTACACAATGACTACTGAGTCTCCTCCGGTTGCTGGGTCTGGTCAGGTAGCTGCGTCGGGTCAGGTGTTTGCTGCAGCATCCAGGTCTAGTCCTGAGTCTGCCTCCTGCTCGTGTCGTCTCCTGTCCCACCGGATCCTCCCCTAGCCCCACCGCCTTGGTCACCCTTCCCTGCCTCGTCTCCGAGGCATGGCCTCCCGTTACCTTGTCTTTGGTCTCCCCTGGTCCCTCCCTCCCCTCCCTCCGGGGCCTGCCCCTACCTGCGGTCCCTGCGTCGAGGGGCGGCAGCGCGCCGCTCCTCACTCCTCCGAGTTTCCTCCGACAGAGGCTCCGCTGAAGACACTTCACCTGGACGTGTGGAGCCCCGCCCGTGTCCGTGGCTAGGGTCACGAGCGTTACTTCCTATTGGTGGTTGACGACTACTCACGTTACACCACGGTCTTCCCCTTGCGCAGCAAGGGTGAAGTCACTGAGGTGTTGATCGACTGGATCCGCGCAGCTCGTCTCCAACTCAGAGAGAGTTTCGGCTCGGACT